TGACCACTAAAAGGCACCGTCAGTAAGGATTAAACCCTGGGAAACGAACCCAATAGGATTGAGCACACTAAACAAATTCTTAAAGAAAGCGATCGTACATGTCATCGTTGAGTTCACCAACATTCGTCATCCTACTGTTCAAAGGGTAGAGGGAAAGATGTCCGATATTATGAATCTATATCTTTATTTCCGGCAGTGTAAATTATGTATGATTCTGCCAAGTGCATGACATCTGTATCCGGCACAATCTTCCGCTTCCCCTCCGTCTTAAGAGCAGAGTCATACCTTACAGTAATAAACAACTGGCATTCGCTTTTACGAGGCGCGGATCTGAAATCAGCCGTTGCTTATTTTCAATTGATAATTCCACCGAGCAAAGTGCGCCCAGTCGAAAGAGACACATTAATGCATGGTTTATGAACTGCGGGCACAGAACCTACCGTGACAGAGTTCTGCCAGACGCATATGCATGTCTGATAAGTTGCTATATATGAGGAATTCCCAATTACGAATGTGAGTTAAAAGGCCATGACTCTTCACCACGGTTTTTTGACAGATAAATGCGGATAATGCCTTCGATAATTTTGACTTACGGTCAGTAAACAACGTGTATTCCTGCCTGACGGGTTGGTTTTTTTATAAAACGAATACACTTAATATACATATGGGCTAATGTAGTCATAACGTGAGGACTGAAAATGAACCTGAAAGGCTGAAATCATATTTCAAAAATACGTGACCTCGCAACGTGTTGAAGTCAAGGGAATTAGACTCTAAGACATGCAAACCTGTGCCTAAAAATGCACATTTCTGTAACGGAGAACAGACCCTACAAAACCAGCAGAAGAGTAAAACTGGCAAGAAGCAGCTTTGAAAACTAGAAAAGTTCTTATTCGGGAAAACGCCCTTGTGTTTGAAACGGGAAGTTTCGATCATGTATGGTGCCGGCGCCTACATAAAACCTGATCATCTGATAGATGCGAAACCTGGGCCCTAAACATTAAAGCTATTCATAGATTACACACTACAGAAAGTAGTACGAAGTGATGTATTTTGGAAATAACAAGAAAAGATGGGAAGACGGATGAATGGATGAGAGCACAAGCAAGAGTCTGCGCTGTGATTGTTCCGAGTGAAGAAGTCAAAATAGCAATTCATCGGACTACTTGCAAGAAGAACCGACCATCGCTGGACCATTGGGACATTAAACTCGGTTCTAACAGAGAGCAAACTTGTCCCCAGGAAGACTTGAAAATCGATGGCAGGATGAGTTGAAAAAATTAAGGTCAAGGTGGTTTAAAATGGCAGATACCAGAAGTTTATGGCAAGTCTTGGAAAAGCGTTCATCCAACAGTGGATCGACAAAGGCCGATAATGATGATGAATCTGGCTAATCAGCTGACCGATGCTAAAATTCTGTCTAGAGGACGTTACAGAAAAACTTTTTATGCCGATTAGGTCAACGGTAGCCATGAAATAAAAAAATAGACTCATTTACTTCTCTGGATCTCCTTTCGCGCTGCATTTCAGGGAAAACTTTGGTGGACTTCCAGTGCTGGGAATGTGGAACCAAACGACGGCTGGCGACTCGGTTTCCAGCTTCGGCGGAGATCGAACTAAAAAATGAGAAAATATGCAAAACAATATACCAAAAATTTAAAATACAGGACTTGAAGATCGGTCATCAATTCAAAGGTCGGTTAAGGTCTCAATTAAGGTTAGCTAAGCAATTATCCTAAGGCAGTGCCTCTTTGTTAGAAAAACATAAGTCATGACTGCAGTTTGCCTTTATCGCGGTTTTCTGCTACCCACTGACTGAACTCTATCACGGAGATTGCGGAATTCAGCCCGGTCTTTGTGTCAAGGTTTCATCATTTCAATGCCGTAGCCGCCTTCATTGAGTCAAATGCCAATATCGCAGTCTTGAAATACAATGCACTCCAGATAGCAGGAATTCAGGCTCATGACACGGACATATTTAAGCCACATATAACCATTTTCATACTGAGTCGTTTCACTAACGGAAGAAGTACGAGAGTTCCAATCAGATAAAAGCAAAATTTATGAAACGGCAGCTAGGCGTGTGTTGCTGTACTAAGAATGAATACTATGCCATTTTTGAAAGAGCAAAAGCAAAACCACTGAACGTGATGTGATGAGAAAAGGCTACAGTCGAAACAATTTCAGAAGCATTATTTTAACAAGAGTAGCTTCAACGAAAAAAATGATTATCAAAACCAAGCTAGGTTCGGTCAGTCACGTGAAACGGAGACCTGACGACCAGCCAAGAGGTAACAGGGTTCAAATACTGATTATATCAAGAGAAAGAAGGAGTAAAAAACAATGGTGAAGAGTTGCAACGAATGAAAACGGCTGAGCGCGGTTACGGTACGCATGGCGAAAGTTAGACAACAGCAATGAAAATGCTTCCTACCACGAACCTGAATAAGACCACCTGAAGATACTTTAAATGACGTTTCTAATAGTCAGACATAATGTCAGCTACGTTTGGCTTCTAAAGCTTTGGACACACTGACCCTGATATTAAATACAACTTCATAAAAGTCAGATTTCTGTCTCCTAACACCACTCCTCTCATCCAGCCCATGGATCAGCAAGTAATTTCCAACTTCAAGATGTTATATACAAAGGCTCTTTTTTTCCAACTGTTTCCAGGTAACCAACGACACGAATTTGATCCTGCGTGATTTTTGGAAGGATCACTTCCATATCCTCCATTGCATACACCTCATTGACAAGGCATGGAACAATGTCTCTAACCGCACGTTGAATCTGCCTGGAGGAAACTTTGGCCAGGTTGTGTGCCTCATAGGGACTCTGAGGAGACAGCTGTAACTCTAGTAAACGAGATTGTGACCATTGGCACGAGTCTGGGCTTGGAGG